AAATAGTACCATACACCAGGACATACAGATTATAAGAAAAATATAACTATATACCCTGTCAACTAAAATTAAGTACTAAGTGACAAAAAAATACATGGATTTTTGGAGCTGCTGCTCAACTTGAGTCTAGCTTTCAAGTGAACGAACACAGCAACAAACTGAGGCTGAGGGTGGCTTTTAAAGGGGAAGTCACTGACTAACACAGGTGACAGATCATCAATTAAGGTCGGAGGTGAGGGGAAAAAACAGGTGAAATCAATCAAACCAAGGCTGTGCAACTTCGGGTTGCCACAAGGTGACATAGATACTTTATTATGGTATAGTATTTAAATATATGCCTGAGAAAAACATAACATTGCCCCGTTAAAAATAAAGAACTCAATGACATCATTTAATATAAAACAGATTTTAAATCAAATTTAAATGTATGATGAAATCCAGCAAAATAAACAATGAACAGTGTTCACCAATCATTATCAGGCAACCCCCACCCCCCATCCCCCACACGTTTTGCCCCTTAGCTGTTGGCATTGAGTAACTGTGGCCCTCCTGAGCAATTAAGTTGAACAGTCCTGTCATATATTAATAAAGGCTTTACAGTGAAGGCCCAGACAGTAGTGTTTTCCTTGAAGTAAAGAAGAAAGCTTTTTTTTCATAGCAGTAGCCACACTTGCAGCTTAGCCTAACCCTCTTCTGGTCTCAATCTCTGACTGCCCACTCTCAGGGAGACAAATTCTCAGCGTGGTTCCTCCCACTCACTGATGTTGGGGAGCTGAACTTCAGTCCTGCGGAGAAAACGGGATTAGAGGCCGGCTGTAGATATGGTTCCTTCCTCGTGACGACATAAATGCGCTAAACACCCCTCGATATGATCCCATTGTTGTGGTTCCCTAAGAGCAGCTGTCAGATCTGTCTTTGTAGAAGTCTGAGCAGTGGGGGTGGGGGTGGGGGTTGTCATCAGGCTCTCATCTGAATACACACACCGGAAAATGTTAATGTCAGACGGGTCAAAAGGATGATGTCTGCTCGGGTGGCACCGTGAGCCCGAGTCACTTCTGCTCCAGTTCCAACCGGCGCACACGTCAGTCCGTTTTTATCTCTAACCTGACTGATTCATGTCTACCTGCAAGCCTGCGGGGCGGGGGGGGGGGGGTGTTGACCATGACTCGCCTATAAAAGGAGAGGCAAAAGGTGAAAGATGGGCAAGAAAGTGAGTACGAGAGACTTCAGAGAAAGGAGAAAATAAAGCTTCAAAGGATGATATAAAAGACGAGCGCTGAGAGAAAAAGCATGACATCATTGTGACGTCCCTGACTGCATGAATTTATTAAAATCTTCTTTTCAAATCATTCTCAGCCTCTATTCAAATTCAGGTTGGAATACGGAGCTGTACATCAGGTCAATTTAGTCTACTGAAGAACTGCAACATCCACACAAAAAGCTCAAAACACTAAAGCAAAAAGCAACTGTAATTACATTTAGTGACTAACAGGTCCTATTCAAATCCTAAGAACCAGATCAAGAAGAATAAAAGTGAGACTACAGTAGTGATTATTAGCTACATGACATAAAATAGAAGATATTTCTTTGATTTTATCTTCTTTACTTTAGACTAACTCTCCTCGCAGCTCAAACGGTAGATCATAATCGTGTGATTGTTGAACATCCATGAACTTTCCCGTTTCCACAAGATCCTGTCAAGAAACATAATAACCATAATAAACATGATGCAATTACAGTATATCATCTGCATTTATTTAGTTTTCAGCAGGACTAAGATAATTAGGAAGTAACTAAATGTGATGACCACTTCTCATGTTATTTTCTCAGAATAATGCGTTGACAGGTCTCTTATTTTGAAATAAACAGTAAGTCGTGCTTCTGGATTTCATCTGAAATCAGTTGACTGTTCTCATCTCCAATAAAGATGGAGCAACTTTGTTTAGTGTTTAGATTTCATTTCAAATTATCACAAGAAAACAAGTTTTTCTTTAATGAAAAATACAAATAAAACAGCTTATTTAATTATCTCAATAGTTGGAATTAAACTGTTATCACAAGCTGTGTTGTGTCAATATAATGTTAAAGGTAAAAAATTATGCTAATTTTAAGTGGGGCTTTGTGGATAGGTTACCTATGAATATCTTACCTGTTGTATAAAGCTCTTTGACCGACCTCCATTTGGAAATTAGAAGTTCAATGATCTACCAGTTACATCTGAGTAGCTGACTTAAAAAGTCAAATATTTACATCTCCATCAATTTTGGATTATACAGTTATTTAAATTTGCAGATGTAAATATTAGCAGAGTAGCTAGCTGTACTACTTCCAGTGAATCCATGGGCAGTTCTGACAGGATTATTAGATTTTTGCTAAAATAATCCACCCGCTTCAGATGTTATCATCCATTAAATGGATGTTATTAACCATTATCAATCCCATAGAATGGCTTCAGACTGTCAGCTGTTTAGAATTAGGCATAAATCCACTAAGGTTAATTTTAGTGAAAATGATGGGCTACGATGAAGTAGACCGGCTTCATCCATGTCAACCTCTCCCGACGTTTACCTGTATAAAAAGCCTCAAAAATCTGTAAAATTTGCAAAAAATCAGTACAACTCGCACCCGTGGGGGGTGGGGGTGGGGGGGGGGGGGGGGTGTCTGTCGGCTGCGGACATGAAAGCGCCCGCTGCGAAGCAGGAGAGGGGAGCAGAACAAGTTCAAAACTTATTTCTAGAGGCAGAACAGGTTGGAAGATGGCTGTTTGATGTTATTCATTTTTTTAAAAATCATCCTATAGGCTCTGACATGTTAGATAAATCTGTAAATGAGGTTTTGAAAAACTCCGTAAGACTTAAAAAAATCTGTGAGATTGCCCTATACGTCCATATACCTGCAAAATGACGTAAAATCCTTATAACTTACAGACAATCCGTACAAGTTGACATGCATGCGGATTCCGGCGGTAGCAGATTGTTGCATTCCAACGCATATGGCACTAGTAACCCACTAGGGGGCACTGTCGGGACAGTCTGAAGCCATTCCATGGGACTGATAACCACTAATAACATCCATTTAATGGACTGATAACATCCGAACCGGCTGAATAATCTTGCAGTGTGAAAAGAGTGGCAGTAAAAGTTTTTATAAATTACTGTTTGTATAAATCATTTCTTTAGACTGAATTAGTTTTAAAAGGAAGTCTGACGAGTTGTAACATTAAAATATATATAAATTTGACAAATACATTGCGACGGATGTTGCCAAGTTGTTTACACCACAAAGCATTTGGGGTAAATGGTGACTCTTACTGGTGTGTGCTTTATCTTGATTGTTTAACTTGGAAAATTTATGACGTTCAGCCCTTTAAATGAAAGTGGACTGCATTACGATAAATGGCATTAGCCATGTGGCGCTAACACCACAAATACTGTATTAGTAATACGGTGTTAGCTATTATATATACTGTGCATATATATGTATATATG